ATGTTTTTCTAAATGTTTTAATAGAGATCTGCTCTAAAGACAATTTTAGGCCAATTAAAAACAAATCTAAAAATTTTACTTTGGCATACTTTTTCTAAAAAATTCCTTGCTTTTGTTTTAAAATGTTCACAGAACAATCACAATACCTTATAGTAGCAAAGAATAAGTAACCAGAGATCCCAAAGCCCACTCATATCATAAAAAAAATCAAAATGCCACTTCAAGTCTAACACTATGGAAGAACATGTTAAGAGAATATATAAATACAAGAACAAAATGTTCTTTATACACAAATAAGTGAATTATGTAAGGTACATACAAATGTTATCAATATATGTGGCATATTAGGAGAGAAAATGGAAGAATGATGGGATATATTGAAATTTAACTTTCTATTCTGATGTCACATTCTAACATTTTAAAATAATGACTAAGACACCTAGATATCTGGAGCCCTGCTTTCCCCATTTGCAAATCTGGGATACCAACACATTGTCATCTAGTTGATTCCAACTCATATGAGCCTGTAGGAAGTGGCTAACTGCCCAGTTTCTAAGGCTATAATCTTTATGAGAGAAGATTGCTACACCTTTCTCCCATCAAGCTGGTAGGTTCAAAACGATGACATTTCAGTTAGCAACCAACTGCTTAAAGGTTGTTTTAAATCATGGATTTACAATGGCTATTAGTTAAATAGGTATTTAATTAGGATATTTTACAAATATTTGAAATATTATATTCCACTATGGGTCATTAAAAAACTTGTTCACATTGTGATAAGAGTTCAATGAGCCCCCAATAAAATGATTTTTTAAAAAGAAAGAAATATTCACAACCTAAAAAAAAAATTGTTCATCAAATTTATTCCTAAAATTTTTCGTAACTGCTGAGTTAGGGAATCAACATCAGTATTCAGTTTTAAGATATGACAAAACTGGCTCAACAGCAATAGGTTTTGGCTTCATATTCAGGGTTGGCAATTATGTTCTATTTTGAACAGAATTTCTTTCTTTTGACCTTTTAATCCCCTTAATTTCCTTCATTACAGTTTAAGTAGAAAAAAATCATATTTATACAATATTCTACCAAGTACCAACAAAAATATTAAGGTTCATATAAAGCAAAATATCTTAAAAATCAAGGTATTTTAAAACACTATCTCTGTGCAGAATTACTTAAGACGTAATAAAGGTATATAACAAGAGCTTACAAATGGATCAAGGCTAATACGGAAATAGATATTAAATCCAGACTTATGGAGAATTCTTAAAATATTTTTCATCTTAGTGACTGAACTTCTATTTTTAGACATGGAGTTCAATAAAAGAAAAAAATAAAAACTGTTGTTAACTGAATTATCTTTATATTATTCTGAGTTTATAGGACTCATGTATAAAAATCTATAAATCAACATTGTTTTAGATTTAACATTACAGGCTACAAATCCAATTTTAAATAAAATGAATAATCCTTCATTTTAAACTATATTTTTACATGTTTCAAAAAATGTTTTAGTTCCTTCAAATAAAAATAAGATTATTAGATTTCAGGATCATTTTAATCACTATATTAAATGTGTTTCTTTTCTAGTCTAAAAACATGAACTCCAAGATATAAATAAAGTACTTTAAAAAATGTTTTCTTACCTCTGCTTGCTCTGGTGTTTCTCCTGCAAAGTAAAAGATGTAATGTTCTTCACTAAAGTGCTGAACTACTATCTGAAAACAGTTTGGCCTTTAAAATATAAACAAACGCATTATTAGTAATCTTAACAATAAGTGTTTCAAACATTTATATTAACTTTAAAAATTCACAATATAAAACTGTATGTTATTGTTGTTAGTTGCT